AAACGTATTGTTCATGGTTTGTTTGCGTCTGTAAATTGGATGAATTTCATTATGCGATAGACCCTTATTGTAAAGGGTTACCAAAAATGTTTTATAACAAATGAATAAACAAACAAACAAGAAAAAAAAAAAGAAAAGAAACAAAGTTAAAAGTTACAAAAGTTTTGACCAAATAAATGAATGGATGAACAAAAAAAAAGAATGAATGAATAAATGAATAAATAAATGAATAAATCAATAAATAAATAAATAAATAAATAAATAAATAAATAAATAAATAAACATTGACCTACAATGTACGTTAAAAAGTGTGTCAGAGAAAGTTTTAATCGAATAAATAAATAAATAAATAAATACTCAAACAAACAAACAAATACACGTATAAATAAATAGACATTGACCAAAACACAAACAAACTAAAATAAAAGGTACTTTAAAAAGTGTCATGGAAAGTTGACCAAATAAATAAATAAATAAATGAATACTCACCAAAAAACTAAAACTAAAACTAAAATGTACTTTAAAAAGTTAAACAAACAATAATACAATTAACATAAAATAAAATAAGCAGTTACAAAACAAACAAACAAAAACTAAGCTAAAATGCTCTTTAATTAAAATTAATTCATTAAATCAAATAAATAAGTAAATGAATAAAAAATAAATAAATACACATTTACCAAAACAAACAAACTAAAATAAAATATACTTTAAAAAGTGTCAGAGAAAGTTTTGACTAAATAAAGAAAGACAGACAGACAGACAGACAGACAGACAGACAGACAGACAGACAGACAGAAAGACAGACAGACAGACAGACAGACAGACAGAAAGAAAGAAATACTGATACAAATACAAAAAACTAAAAATAAGCAGTTACAAAATAAAGAAAAACCAAGCTAAACTGTTCCTTAAATAAAATAAATAAAAATAAATAAGTCAATAAATAGCGATAAAGACCAACAAAAATAAACTAAAATGTTCTTTAAGGAGTTTGTTAAGAAAAGTTTTCAGCCAACAAGTACAAACAATAAAAAATAAAATAAATAGTGACCAAAATAAACAGCTAAAAAACTAAGCTAAAATGCTCTTTCAAAAGTTTCTGAAAAATGTTTTCACCGGATAAATAAAATAGTGGCCGAAAACAAACACAAAACAAATATCTGTTTTAAAAAGTTTGACCAAAAAAAATAAAATAATAAAAAAAATAAAAATACACAAGTAAACAAACAAGCCTAAACAGCCAGAGTTAAAGTAAAACACCAAAAGCAGAGCTGTCAATGAAGCAGATCCATTCAGAACCACCTCATCTAATCATAATCACAGCTCCATGAACAGCAGCAGCAGCACACACACACACTGAGGTAGAGAAAGCGCTGTACCTGACATTGACTGCTCTGTACTGTGTATCTTTGGTCAGGTCATCTCTGCTGTCCGTCCAGACGCTCAAACTGACCCCGCTCAGATCGGCAGCACTTTTGAGGAGCCGCCGTCAGCCAATCAGAGGCTACCGCCATTGGTCATGTGACTCGCAGGATTAGCTGAAGGTGATCCAATTGGGGCGTCCGGTCCAAACGTCCACATTTACAGACAAAGACTGATCTGAGTCTCTGAATGAAGAACAGAGAAACAGATGGTGGAGCCGTGACACACACACACACACACACACACACACACACACACACACACACACACACACACACACACACACACACACATATATATAAACACACACACCAGCACACTTTTGCTTGGATGGACTCTTAATGAGCAATCTGGCCACAACCCAATTAACCCCCCACCACCCCCACCCACACACACACACACTTGTTGGCATCGGTGGTTTAGGCGTAATGTATTTTTATACTGTAAAAACGCAAACACATAAATTTACACATAAACACATACAAACACTCTATCTCAAACACGCGCACACAAAAACACACACAGATACACAAAATCGCATGTACACAAACACACACGCACACACATACAAAAATATGCGCACACACACACACATACTCATTCATAAACAAATACACACACTCTTTCTCCCTCTTTCTTTCAAACACACACACACAAACCATATGTGCGCACACACACACAAACAAAACTGCACATACACAAACACACACAATCGCACACACACACACACACACACACACACACACACACACACACACACACACACACACACACACACACACACACACACACACACACACACACACAAATATACACACACACTCTCTCCCTCTTTCCCTCACACACACTCCAGCAGCACCTCTGTGACCTACATCCAGACCTGTGTGTTTCTGTGTGTGGAAGTGTGTGTGTGTGTGTGTGTCCAGTGAAGATGGGAACAAAGCAGGTCAAACTGAAGATCTGCTCAGACTCTTCATCTCAAACACACAAGACCATGAAATCTTCAAATAATGCTGATAATTACAATATTTCCTGCTAAATCAACACGAGCTGCAGAACTAAACTAATAATCAGTTCATCACTGAGAACTTTCATCTTGTTTTTCTGGACAGATTCGGCAGGTCATGATAATACATTAATCATCTGAAGGGTGATTATCTGATAATCTGAGTTATTTCAGATCAACATTACAATTGTACAATTTAAATATTAAATTAGGGGTGTTTATGAACATGAGGGATGATATTTTTAAAAACAAAACAAAACAAAACAATAAAACACTGCAGTATCAACACAGCGACAAGTTCCAGTGCAATATTTACCAATGGAAAATAAATATTATTATTATTATTATTGTTATTTTTATTATTATTATTGTTCTTATTATTATAAATCTAAAATTAGGAATATATGTATGCAAAAAAAAAAAAACAAAAAAAAAAAACAAGATAAAACACTAGTTCCAGTATAATATGTCTATAAAATAAATATGTATTATTTTTATTTATATATTATTATTAGTTGAAAAAATATTATTATTAAACATTTATTTTATTTATTATTATTATTATTATTATTATTATTATTATTATTATTATTATTATTATAATTATTATTTGTAAATAAATATGATCACTCAATGTCAGTGATTATCACCATTATCAATAAGTTTAAATATAAAATTAGGGATAATTATGAGTGCTTTGTAAAATAAAATTAAACAGAACACTGCTGTATCAACACACAGACAAGTTCCAGTGTAATATTTCTAAATAAATTATTAAGTAAATATTATTAATATTAATACATTATTATTATTATTATTATTTTTAGTTGAAAATAAATATTATCATTAGACATTTATTTAATTTATTATTATTATTAGTAAATTAATTTTCTTTTATAATAATAATAATAATAATAATAATAATAATAATAATAATAACTGTTATTATTATTATTATTATTATCATTAAATATGTCTGTTTATAACTAATCAGCACAAAACTCATGATTGTCACAAATGCAGCAAAACTCCTAAATTTACATTTTAACAATCTAAATCGCAGAACATATTAAAGCTTTCTGAGTAAAAATCTGCAGAATCAAACATTTATTTTAAGTTAATCTTATTTACAACACTGGCAGATTTCTTTCAGCTTTAAACTTACATTTTTAACACTGTAAACCCACATTGAATAATATATGACGAAAGAAAAGCGAAAAGAGAGAAGAAAGCAGGGAAAAGCTGGAGTTTAGTTTGAGGTAATCCGTCGCTGTTTCTGAAACTCTGAAACCAGAAAATATTTGCATAATAATAATCCACGTTTCAGTGAAAGAGCTGCTTCATTTTAGGAACATTTGTGGAAATTCTCTTCCTCGTGTTTCAGGAACTGACAGAGTTAAATGTTAAATGTAAAATTCACCTTAAGTCTTACATTTGAGGTTTGCAAACTCATGATTATCTTCAGTATAGTTTTCACACTGAAAAATTACGTGGGTGCCTAACCTTTAAATTAAGCTGAAACATATCGAGTCATCTGAACTTAAATTACACAGCAAAAATGCTTGAGTTTTTCTTTGTTTCTAATCTAAATTTCTAAAAACTGGTTAATTAACAAGCATATATATATATATATATATTGTAACATAAAACTGACCAACTAACCAACACGGTGGCTCAGTGGTTGGCACTGTGGCTTCAGAGTGAGGTTGCTTTAAAGAGTTTGTCAAGGAATGTTTTGATCAAATAAAACAAACAAATAAAATATATTAAATAAATAAATAATTACACACCAAAAACTAAACTAAAATGTACTTTTATGAGTTCGTCAAGGAAAGTTGATCAAATAAATGAAAAATAAGATAAAAATAAACAAACAAATAATTAAATAAAATAATTAAATAAATAAGCAATGACAAAAAAGCAACACACAAAAAACTAAACTAAAATATACTTTAAATACTTTGTTGAGGAAAGTTTTGATATAAACAAAATAAATAAATAAAAATAAATAAATAAAAATAATTAAATAAATAAATAAATAATGACTAAAAACTAAACTAATATGCACATTAAAGAGTTTGTCAAAACAAGTTTTGATCAAATATAACAAATAAACAGTTAAAGACCAAAAACTAAACTAAAATGTACTTTTATGAGTTTGTCAATGGAAGTTTTGATCAAATAATAAATAATAAAAACAAAAACAAAATAAACAACCAAATAATAAAAAATAGTAAAATAAATCAATAAATAGTGACAAAAAACAAGAAACAAAAAAATAAAATGTGCTTTAAATAGTGTCAAAGAAGGTTTTAAATAAATAAATAAATAAATATAAAAAATTCAAATAATAAAAAAAAAAATATATATATATATATATATATATTTATATATATATATATATATATATATATATATATATATATATATATATATATATATATATATATATATATATATATATATATATATATATATATATATATATATATATATATATATATATATATATATA